AACAGGTTCCTTGCACAGTGGAGTTTTGCATATTTTACAAATGAATATAGATTCACTGAGCAAAATGTTTAATTTGTTTATTATTTATAAGATAAAATGAAATGAACTACATTTGTCATTAACAATTAGTTCAATTGATTTACAGAAAGCTATGCTCACTGTATCCTGGTTTCAGTGATTATTTAATTATACCATTTTTAAAGCCACCATCCTTTAATACGTGCAGTATGTATGTAAACTGATATGGACTTCCGTAGTGAGGTTAAATGTTATTGACTTTCAAGCATTATCTTGGTTGTGACACTGTATTTTCTTTATAAATTAGATATCCCCAGTGTACTGCTAACCATTTTAGTTGTAAAAAGGAATGAAGATTGGGAGGGAGATTAGATACTCATACTCATTTTTAACCTAAGTTATTTTGTTAGGAATTAGTGCAAACTGTAATTACTGGACATTTTTAATAAATTCATAAACTTTTGTAATTTTGCTTTACTTTCCTTAAGCTACTGTATTTCATATTTACTGTGAATTAACAAGAGTGCCTATTTTCAGTAAAATGTCCTGGAGTTGCTAAAATCTGTTCTTCTTGCAGAGCTCTACATACGAATCAATTTACGAACCCATTACTCCTCGCCCCTCAAGTCAAATGTCTAACAAGTCAGGCTACAGCCTCTATGGGCCCTACACTTCACCAAGAGCTAGGGGTTTGGCTCCAGCTCCCACAAATCAACCATTGCTCAATCCTGATAAAGTTGGCAAGGAAGCTGAAGTGGATGCACTTACTAACCTGTTAGTGCAATCCATGGACAGTACCAATGACCCAGAGTTCTTTGGTGCGTATGACTCGTGTATGTGCATCTCGTTTTGTTCTTAACTTAATTTTTACAGTTACTTATTTGAATAATAAATGTTCTTTATAATAGTGTGTGATAATTTAATTACATGAGCATATCAGTATTCATGTTTTCCAGTGGTTGTAGTAAACACTACCTACTTTGATCCCATTCCAGTATTCTGCCACTTGTGAAGAAAATCTTTCTAGTATCCATTCGGAACCTCTTATTTTTCTATTTACAATTGTGGCCTCTTGTTCTCCCTGTTATTGTATGAAGAAAACTTTATTTTTTCATTCTTTTAAAATCCTGCATGATTAGCATGTCCTTTATTTCTCATATCAGCAAACTAGAGCTGTTAAGGTTTTTCTGTCTTTGTAACTTTAATTTTTTGGCCATTGAAATACATTTTGTAGCTGTAGATTTATTCCATATTATCTGGTATTTATTTTTCAGATGCATATATCACATCACTGTTTAATAATCAAATTATAGCTTAATAGATTTTGTAAACCACTTTTAGCATTTTCCTGTTTATATATCTGAAGGCTCTTTTAGTATTTATCAGTGAAGTTTATTTCATGTGATCTTCCCTAACCCCTCTTTTGTTCATAAAAGGAAATTAAAAATAAACAAAAAGCAGCAAGGTGATGAGAGAACAAAGTCTAGGCAATGAAAGATTATCTGATTGGAGGGACGGAGTATTGGGTAAGAGAATGTATTTAGAAATTTGGTAGTGGACATGTCAGCAGATGGTGAACCATAAAAGGAGGGGGTGGTTGGGCAGGGAGGGTAAGTAGGGTATTAAAGGTGTCTGCAGAAAGAAAAAAGGATCATGGAGGGGGGGGGGGGGAATGAACCAAAGTATAGTTGTACGGGTGTGTCATGGGCTATGGCAGGGCTGCTCAGTTGGCCTGTGGTCTGAATCTGGACCTTCTGAGTGTTCTAGTTGGACCACGAGCTTCAGAAACCTTAGTTAAATAACAGCTGTTACCATGTTAAGGCTCAGATGGTACACAAGAGCAGGATTAATACATTATTCTGTGAATGGAATGCATATAGTGAATGGAATACAGTTTTCTAGCATAGCTAAATAGTGATATTTTCTTCCATTCAGTGGTAATTCATATTGGTAATTATCACTTCCTAGGTAGTAGGTTGGTAAACAGCAACCGCCCAGGGAGGTACTACCGTCCTGCCAAGTGAGTGTACGACGAAAACCTGTAATTGTTTTACATGATGGTAGGATTGCTGGTGTCTTTTGTCTCTCATAAATGTGCAAGATTTCAGGTATGTCTTGCTACTTCTACTTGCACTTAGGTCACACTACACATACATGTACAAGCATATATATACACACCCCTCTGGGTATTCTTCTATTTTCTTTCTAGTTCTTGTTCTTGTTTATTTCCTCTTATCTCCATGGGGAAGTGGAACAGAATTCTTCCTCCGTAAGCCATGCATGTTGTAAGAGGCAACTAAAATGCGGGGAGCAAGGGGCTAGTATCCCCTTCTCCCGTATAAATTACTAAATTTAAAAGAGAAACTTTCGTTTTTCTTTTTGGGCCACCCTGCCTTGGTGGGATACGGCCGGTGTGTTGAAAGAAAGAAAGAATTATCACTTGTGCAATGAAGTTGATTTTTTTGGCATTTTGGAAAAAGTTTGGCTGCATATCAGCTGGGAAATCTGGCAACCCTGGTGCAGCTTTGAATTTCGGGAAAAGTTGTGCAAGGTATGATTTCAGGTTTTCTCATTTTCTTTTTAGCAAGTTTGATTTTAATTTGCTGTGCTCACTTTTATGAATAAGTATGTTGGTGGGGTATTTAGTATTGAATAGTGTTGTAATCAAATTCTTCACATCAATGTTTAATCAAATTAGTTAAAAAATTTCCTCATTCTGGTTGTTCCTAATTTATGTGGATTAGATGCATTGATTTTTTTTTTGTAAGACGAGGACTGAAAATGAAGTTCATAGGAAATGATGAGTACACTGCCATATACTCAGATTTGTTGCTTTTCATAATTGTGTGTAACAAATGTATCCGGACCTTTACATACATTGGTACTTGTCCAAGTGGACCTTAGCTCATAGTAGTTGGGTAACCCTGAGCTATGGGCTTAAAACACTGCAGTGAGGAGGAGGCTGAATGTAGTAGAGATGTCATGTTCGAGGGCATGTGCGGTTTGAGTATTGTGTAGACAATTGGAATCCTAAAAAAAATTAGTGTGGGAGGTTACCATGGGTATAATTCAAAGAGCTTGTTAATAGTGGTTTGGGTATTTAGAGGAGACAGAGCATAATAGGATGACAGTGTATAAATCAGGCAGAACATAGGAACATAAGAAAGGAGAACACTACAAAAGGCCTGTTGGTCCATACTAGGCAGGTTCTTCACAAATCCAACCCACTAACAGAATAAATGCTACCCAAGCAATCAGCTTTGACAATTCTATTTACTCACATGCAAGTCCTACTCAAATCCAACCCTTCACTCATGTATTTATCCAACCTAAATTTGAAACTACCCAAGGTTTTAGCTTTGATAACTACTAGGCAACTATCCTATTACCAAACCAGTACTTTCCTATATTCTTTCAAAATCTAAACTTATCTAATTTGAATCCATTATTGTGGGTTCTCTCTTGGAGAGAGATTCTCAAAACTTTATTTTTATCCCTTTTGTTAATACCCATCTTCCATTTATACACTTCGATCATGTCTCCTCTCATTCTTCATCTTGCAAGTGAATGTAGTTTAAGGGTCTTCAGTCTTTCTTCATGCGGAAGATTCTAATGCTACGTATCAATTTAGTCATTCTGCGCTGGATGTTTTCTAATGAATTTATATCTATTCTGTAATATGGAGACCAGAACTGAACTGCGTAATGTAGGTGAGGCCTTACTAATGATGTATAAAGCTGTAATATAACTGCTGGACTTTCTGTTGCTTACACTTTTTAATGTGAATCCCAGTAATCTGTTTGCCTTATTATGTACGCTTAGGCATTGCTGTCTTGGTTTAAGGTTGCTGCTTACCATAACCCCCAAGTCCTTTTTGCAATCTGTATGGTTAAATTCTACATTATTTAACTTACAAGGGTTATGGACACTCCCGAGCTTCAGAACCTTGCATTTATCTACATTGAACTGCATCTGACCAGGAATTGAGTTTGTCTAAATCCTCCTGAAGTTCTGTGACATCTACGTTTGAATCAAACTAGACATGTGGCGAGTTCCTTATATTTGCTAAAGTTTGACAAAGAAATGTAGCTTTAATTTTCATCATATTTGGTATGTTAATGGCAGCTGGTGCTGCTTCCCACATTTTTGTATTAACATTTTCTTTGTTTTGGCTCTGTCAAATGCACTTATTTTTTATGTATGTTTTATGTTGGTTGAAGAACCTCTACACCCATTTTGGCCCAGTAGACCCACATTAACCCTCTGCACACTCTTCAGGTACTTTTTGTAATGATTAATAGATTATAAGGCAAACAAACTATAGTAATTTTTACTTAATAGAATATTAAAAAAGTTGTTTAGGAAATTTGTGGGTGTCAGGAATAATAATGCTATTTTCTCCATACATTCTTCACTTCGTGTAATGCTACTTAATTGCGCTGGTTTTGAGGAATGCAATTCACAAGTTAAGGGCTTACCAAAACTGGCAAGTTTTGTATGCAATTAATATACTGATAAAGAAGCAAAATAAGAATTTTGAAAAGGATAATAATACTGGGATGTAAAAGGTGAATGAGAACTCTTCAAAGTACATATAATGCAGAACTCTATACACAGTTACTAAATAATTATGGTACATAATTGAAAAGTGGAGTTGCACATAAATGTTATTGAAGGACTGTAGCCATAAAATAAGTAATTTTTGGCTGTGTGGAAAGGAGATTGTACATAGGATTAAACGGGGTCATTGTACATTGAATTAACAGGGTCTGGAACAAGAAAGTAAACCAGCATGATCATAAAGTAGGAAAATATAGAGAGTTAAATAACTACATGAAAGGAAATCTGAATAGGAAATAGCCATCCTCCATTTGTTGCAAGAAATAGTATTGTACTTGCAAGCCTATAGAGTGTCTCCTCACTTAATGACTGAGTTCTGTTCCTAAGACCACATTGTGAAGTGAATTCATCTCTAAGTGAGGAGCATACTATAATGGTAGTGGGTTTGTGTCAGCCATCTTTGATATTGTTTTAATGTCACCTTTGCACCATTTATAACATATCTGGTATATTTTTAAATGTTTACACAGTAGTGTACTGTATATTGAAATAGAATAGAGAAAATCAGCTCCAATATACATTATTTAGAGCCCATCATAAGTCTCAGGCATCTGTAAACGAGTACGTCGCTAAGTGAGGAGAGGCTGTATGTTGGTCACACCCCTTGTATTGTCATCTTCTGTATGGACACCTGGTTGTGCTCCTTGGTCATTGACTGATTGTACTGGCAGGCAAACGCTGTTCATTCATCAGATAGCATGCTGCCTTTGTCAGAACCTGTCAATACCTTGACATGCCTTCTGTGCCTTCCACTCTTGACAGTTCCAATTTAAAAAAAAAAAAAAAGTATACAGAACAAGCCTTATTTGGATAATAAGAACATAAGAAAGAAGGAACGCTGCAGCAGGCCTACTGACCCATGCGAAGCAGGTCCACCCCACCCCCGGAGACCCACCTAATCAGGTAACTTCCACTTAAGGAAGGAGCACTGCATCAGACCTAGTAACACAAGCTAGTCAGGTCCAACTCACACCCACTCGTGTATTTATCTAACCTATTTTTAAAGCTATGCAACGTTTTAGCCTCAGTAGCTGTACTCGGGAGTTTGTTGCACTCATCCACAACTCTATTACCAAACCAGTGCTTTCCTATATCCTTCCTGAATCTGAATTTTTCCAACTTGAAACCATTGCTGCGAGTCCTGTCTTGGCGGGAAATTTTCAGCACGCTATTTAAATCCCCTTTATTTATTCCTGTTTTCCATTTATACACCTCTATCATACCCCCCTAATTCTACGCCTTTCGAGAGTGCAAATTCAGAGCCCTCAGTCTATCCTCATAGGGAAGATTTCTGATACATGGGATCATCTTTGTCATCCTCCTCTGTACGTTTTCCAGCGCATTTATATCCATTCTGTAATACGGTGACCAGAACTGCACAGCATAATCCAAATGAGGCCTAACCAAGAATATATAGAGTTGAAGAATAATGTTTTATTCTAAGCAGCATTTTTATGAATTCATGACTGAAAAACATAATTAGTGAAACATTATCCAAATAAAGGTGGTTCTGCATAATTCTCTTTCTATATGCCTGCTGGTGTTGCTTTTCAACCAGCCTCACCTTTAATGCCATGACCTTTAACTTGGCTCACGAAATCACAATGACCTGTCAACATCTCTCCGTGGGTCCATAGAGAGGGAGCAGAGACAGTGTGTGCCACTAGCCATAATCTTCAACACATCTCTTGAAACTGGGCAACTACCTGAGGTATGGAAGACAGGAAATGTAGTCCCCATCTTTAAGAAAGGAGACAGAAATAAGACACTAAACTATAGACCAGTGTCACTGACATGTATGCAGAGTCATGGAGAAGATTTATCAGGAGGAGAGTGATGGAGCACCTGGAACGGAACAAGATTATAAATGACAGCCAGCAGGATTCATGGAAGGCAAAGCCTGTGTCACAAACTTAGTGGAGTTTTATGACAAGGTAACTGAAGTAAGACATGAGAGGGAGGGGTGGGTTGATTGCATTTTCTTGTACTGCAAAAAGGCCTTCAACACAGTTCCTCACAAAAGATTAGTGCAGAAGCTAGAGGATCAAGCACGTATAACAGGAAGGGCACTGCAATGGATCAGAGAATACCTGACAGGGAAGCAGCAGCGAGCCAAGGTACTTGATGAGGTATCACAGTAGGCACCTGTGATGAGCGGGGCCCCACAGGGGTCAGTCCTGGGACCAATGCTATTCTTGGTATGTGTGAATGACATGACGGAAGGGATAGACTCGAAAGTACCCCTGTTTGCAGATGTGAAATTAATGAGAATTAAATCAGATGCAGATCAGACAGGTCTACAAAGAGACCTGGACAGGCTGGACGCATGGTCCAGCAACTGGCTCCTAGAATTTAACCCTGCCAAATGCAGTCATGAAGATCAGGGAAGGGCAAAGAAGACCGCAGACAGAGTATAGGCTAGGTGGCCAAAGACTGCAAACCTCACTCAAGGAGAAAGATCTAAGGGTGAGTATAATACCAAGCATGTCTCCAGAAGCACACATTAACCAGATAACTGCTGCGGCATATGGGCGCCTGGCAAACCTGAGAATAGTGTTCTGATACCTCAGTAAGGAATTATTCAAGACTACACTGTATGTCAGGCCCATACTGGAGTATGCAGCACCAGTTTGGAACCCACACCTGGTCAAGAATGTCAAGAAATTAGAGAAAGTGCAAAGGTTTGCAACAAGGCTGGTTCCAGAGTTAAGGGGAATGTCCTATGAAGAAAGGTTAAGGGAAATTGGTCTTACGACACTGGAGGACAGGAGGGTCAGGGTCGATCGACATAACGACATAGAAAATACTGCGTGGAATAGATAAGGTGGACAGACGGGATGTTCCAGAGAATGGGACACAGAAACAAGGGGTCACAAAAAAAAAAATTGGAAGTTGAATATTCAAATGAGTCAAAGGGATGTTAGGAAGTATTTCTTCAGCCACAGAGTTGTTAGGAAGTGGAATAGTCTGGCAAGTGATGTAGTGGAGGCAGGAACCATACATAGTTTTAAGACGAGGTATGATTAAGCTCATGGAGTAGGGAGAGGGAGGACCCAGTAGTGGTCAGTGAAGAGGAAGGGCCAGGATACGAGTCTCGACCCCAGCAACCACAATTAGGCGAGTACAGTTAGACGAGTATGTGATTGCAAACAAACCATGGTACAGGTGGGGCTTGAACTCACAGCGAGTCGTAAAACTCCAGGCCAGCGTGTAAGCCACTGGGCCAGCTGGCTACAATAAGATTCATCCAGCTAGGTATAGTTATACACCATAGGGAGGTTAGCACGAGTCCCACTGTGACGACAAATGCAAGTTTTTGTAGATGACTTTCCCGCCAGCATGGCAGTGACGAACTGTAGCTCAAGTCCAGCAAGTTCAAGCCCCACCCGTACCATGGTTTGTCTGACCTTTAACTGCTTCTGCTCTTGTCCTGCCCCATATTTTGTTTGTAATCCTTGCCAAAGGATAACTCTGTAACACTCTCCATGTATATAATTAATTATGCACATTTTTTCCAGAACAGAGCAGTCACAAGCTGAATACTGTGTATTATGAAAGTGTGGTGCATGAATGTTATTATCCTGTAGCTTTGAGATTTATGCATAAAGCTTCATTGGGAGCGAAAAGACCAGATGCTGTTCATTATTTGTAAATGTTAAATATTTATAATGTTAAAAATCTCACTCAACACATTTAATAAAAACCATTTTAATAAGTGGCTGGAATAAAAAAAAAAAGATTTATGGTAATGCTTAAGTTTAAATATTTTGGCTTGCTTGACCTAACATTGTTACTAGTTCGTTACACAGTGTGGTTGCTGCTATTTCAGTTGATGATAAGATAATATTTGGAAAATGTAAAAAAAAAAAAGAAAAGGAAGGGGAGTGTTGACAAGTAGAAGTGCTGAAAGTGATGTTACAAAGGCTCTAACATTACAGAAGCAACACCCACTGTCTGTTAAATTCCATTATCCTAAGCAACTTTGGCCTTTTCAATGCTATTAGGGTACCATATTAGCCATTTTATTTCCTGTGATTTATATCTCCCTCCAACTTCCTGTAATTTGGTACAGTCCTCAGGTTACTTTGTCATTGGTGTCAGAAGATTCCATCCCAAATTTGTGACAGTCGTGTTGAGGAGTATATCTTGTTTCAGGTATCTGCACACGGTGTGGAGAGAAAGTAGTGGGTGAAGGCACTGGATGCACTGCAATGGAACATGTGTACCACATAAAGTGTTTTGTCTGTATTGTATGCCATCTCCAGTTGCAGGGCAAACCTTTCTATGCTCTAGACTCAAAACCTTATTGTGAAGATTGCTACTTGGTGAGTACTGTGCTATGGTTTTAAATTATTACTACACGATACTTTTTTGTGTGTAAGTTGCAACTTCTGTATATTTTGTATGTTGTTGTCAGATAAAACTCAACTTTTAAGACATATTGTGCATCAATACAGTCAAACCCAGGTGATCACTTTTGCTTAATAGGGGAAGTGCTTACCTGGGATGTCCCAATATAATTGGACTACCATTATTTATCTATGAGCTTACCATGAATGCAGGGAAGTTCTTGGAAGCCAGTGAGGGACTCATGATCCAAGGAATTGGACATGTTCTCTCCTATTAGACTGAATCTGAATCCAAATTCGAGAATCTGACAATAGTGTTAAGTATCAATTTGTATTTCTGCAGTGTTGCTGGCAGTGATCTGTAGAGGATGGTGAAGTAGGAAGAACTGGGAATATGCTCTGCTTTTGCTGCCCAAATCTTTAGTAGTGGGAATTCTTTGTTTACCTGGAGTTTACCTGGAGAGAGTTCCAGGGGTCAACGCCCCCGCGGCCTGGTCTGTGACCAGGCTTGTGATGACAAAATTGAGGGGAAAAACTTGCCAGAATACCTTTTGCAGCTTATTAGACTGATTTGAATCATACCCACATAGACTTGGGAAAAATTGTGTTACTAGTTTCATATTTAATTGAAATTTAGTTTTCATCATGCATTTGGTAGTGGTGAATCATTTTACTCAGTGGGTAGACACTGACACTGCAGATAGAATGCTGCATATCCACAAGATAAACTCTAAAGGGGTAATAAGCTTTTTTAATATACCTGGTAAAGTGCATGGTAGTTATTACTGAAAGAATTTTGAATAAGACAGAGTAGGACTGCAGAGAACAGAGGCTCTAGGAAGGGTAGTGGACATGTAGACAAAGTGTAAATTAAACCATATAGGTGAACAGTACTCGTATAAAGGTAAGGACCTTTTCATTGCATTTATGGCTTTGGAAGAGGCATTTGATAGGGTGGATAGAGAAGCAGTGTGGCAGATGTTGCAAATGTTAACACAGTGGGAGTTGTCATAGTTGCTTTTTTTACTGATGAGACTGCTTTTGGGAGATCTGAAGAGTTAGAGGTTGATGGATGAGTTTGGTAGGATATGTAAAAGAAGGAAATTAAAAGTGAACATTGGAAAGGGTAAGGTGGTGAGGATAACAAAAAAAAAATAGTTAATGAAAGATTGGATATCAGATTGGAGGGAGAGAGTATGGAGGAGGTGAATGTATTTAGACATTTAAGAGTGGATTCATCAGCAGATGGGTCTATGAAAGGTGAGGCGAATCAGAATTGGGGGGGGGGGGAAGGAAAGTGGTGCACTGAAGAGTGTGTGGAGACAAAATGTTATCCATGGAAGCAAAGAGGGAAATGTATGAGAGGATAGTTATACTAATGCTCTTATATGGGTGTGAAGCATGGGTGGTGAATGTTTGCAATGATAAGGCTGGAGGCAGTGGAAATGTCATGTCTGAGGGCAGTGTGCGGTGTGAATATAATGCAGAGAATTCATAGTTTGGAAATTAGGAGGTGCGTGGTTACTAAAAGTATTATCCAGAGGGCTGCGGAGGAGTTGAGGTGGTTCGGACATTAGAAAGGATGGAATGAAATGGAATGAATTGGAGAGCATATAAATCTGTAATGGAAGGAAGGCAGGGTAGGGGTCAGCCCAGGAATGGTTGGAGGCTGGTTTTGTGTGTTAGGGGCTTAGACTTCCAGCAAGCGTGCATGAGCGTGTTAGGAGTGAGTGAAGACAAATGTTTATGATTTGACATGCTGTTGTAGTGTGAGCAAGGTAACATGAAAGGATTCAGGAAACCAGTTAGTCGAAGTTGAGTCCTGGAGGTGGAAAGTAAAGTGCCTGCACTCTGGAGTAGGAGTGGGGAAGTTCCAATTTGGAGGGCCATCTGAACCATTGTCAGTGCATTCTTAGGAAGACAGTAATTGAGTAACTGACAGTGGAAGTTTTTTTTTTTTTTTAACCCTACATCAGAAGAGTGCTCAGTGTTGCTGTCTAAAAAAATTCAGTCTCAAACTCCTTTTACACCAAGTTTAAATTCACAGAAACAGATAAAAGAAAAAATATAATTTTTTTTTTAACACGTCGGCCATTTCCCACCGAGGCAGGGTGACCCAAAAAGAAAGAAAAAAACTTTTCATCATTCAACACTTTCACCATCACTCATACATAATCACTACCTTTGAAGAGGTGCAGGCCCCGCTTTACGGCATTCCGCTAATACGGCGATGTCAAATTATGACCAAAATTTGCTATGCGGCAAGCGGTCTTTCAAATACGGCGCCCCCCCCACCCGGTTTGTTTACATTTTCCGTGACTACATCTATTATGTCAAGTAACTTTCCAAAATTTAAAGTGTTTTAAAGTTACTGCATATTTTATATGTACCTGTACCTAAATATACTTACACACTGTGCTGGTGTGCAGGTACACATTAAAATCGCTAAGTCTCTCTCTACTCCTGATGCCAATACTACGTAATAGTAATCACTCTTGGGCACACTAAATGTCTTATTTTACATCAATATAGGCATTTTCATTAATCCATCTATGATATTTTCCTCAAAATTATATATGAAACCCATTACATAGCATATAAACATAATACATACACTCACAGAATAAAAATTGATGTAAATATGAGACCTGTTTACAAAGCAGCTGTGTAGGTAGTGTCGGAATAATTACGTTTTCTTTAGTCAAACTGGGGGATAACTGTAGAAAAATATTCTTTACGTATGCCTTTACTTTCTATATAGCAATTCACGACCCTTGTGGGTTTAGTGCTTTTTATTATAATATTATTAATAATAATAATATTGTTATTATTATCATTCTAAAAATGGTGTGTTGCTGTTTGTTTATTCTGAACTAACTTGTACACAATGTAAGAGTACATGTATTTGTATTGTGAGGTAATTATTATTATAATAAAAAAATATTGAGGTAAATGTTTTACTCTTACAAACAGACGTGAATGAACTAAAAGTAGACACACATTAATACGCATTTATTTCATCTGACCAAGTGATCGTCTACTACCTGTTCAGTTTGTGTTCTTACATTGTCTCAACTCTGTATCTCGTTCTCTCTCTTGTTTACTCTTTCGTTATAGTTGGCTCTCATTGACGATGGCGTCTAAGGTTAGCTGTGATAAAAAGAGAAGTCGTAAGCCTCTTGCTTTAAGTGCCAAGTTAGAGGATGATGGTGTGCCATTCTGATTTTATTCAATAAACACCCTGCCACTCGCCTCTCACTCCTTAACCCTTTCAGGGTTTCGGCCGTACTAGTATGGCTTACGCACCAGGGTTTTTGACGTACTAGTACACCTAAATTCTAGCGCCCTCAAATCTAGTGAGAGAAAGCTGGTAGGCCTACATATGAAAGAATGGGTCTATGTAATCAGTGTGCGCGGTATAAAAAAATCCTGCAGCACACAGTGCGTAATGAGAAAAAAAAAACTCTGACCGTGTTGTTGGATTAAAACGGACTTTGCACTCTATTTTCGTATGGTATTTATTGCTGTATTCTAGTTTTCCTGATCTCATTTTATAGAATGGAAGACATATTACAGGCATTGAGATGCTTTTGACTGGTTTTACAAAGAAAAGTACCTTGAAATTGCACTCAAAGTAGCAGAAATGTTCGATTTTTACCAAAGTTCAAAAGTAAACAAATCATGCTATGCGTCCAATACACGTCAACTGGTGAGTCGAATATTCTTTCACAAATGCGCTGATATTATTTATACCATTTCTACACTAATGCAGTAGTCTGCATAACAGCAAATCTTTAATTTTTTTGTGAGAATAAAAATTAAAAGTGAAAAGCAAAAGAATGTAAGAGGGGCGTGGGGACATGACTAATGAACAGAGGAAATGTTATTTTAGTGCCAGGAATGTCTTGTTTATTCTGGACCCTATTCGGAAATTGGCATCTTTTGAAATTTGTGTGAAATTGGCCACTGTATTAGATAGTCGAAATTGGTAAATGGGTGGTTTCTTGTACTCATTCGATAGAAAAATGGAGTTCTAGTGAAATAGTTATGATTTTTGTCGACAAGTACACTGGAATTGGCTGAAAATAGGGCTCAGTGGGCAAAATCGCCGATGTGCAAACATCGTCGAGACCACTAACTTCGCGAGAGCATAATTCTGTAAGTTTTCCATCAAATTTCATACTGTTGGTGTCATTATGATCGGGAAAAGATTCTCCATCTTTTCATAAGAAATTTTTTTTTTTTTTTTTTGAAATTTGGCCGACCCTGAGAACAAGTCTCTGAGAGGGCCTGTTGACCCTGAAAGGGTTAATATTAATATTTTAAGGTAAGTAATAAGTGTACTCTGTGGGTATCTTACCTTTTAGTGTGTTTTTAATGCCTATTTCTATTGCTAACTTAATATAAGTTAGTGTAAACTTATTGTCTGTCATTTATTGCATATTTTGTGTGTGTTCTGATAATAATACTTGTGGACCTGTGTGATAGCCGGGTGGAGGGACAATACGTTTTCTCTGCTCAGCCATCAGAGAAAAAGTGTATAAATCTGTGTTTGGCCCAGCCACTCCCTCACTCCGCTTTTGTTTACAATTTTCGGCATGAATTATTCATTACTTCTACCTTCGTTTATGATGGCATCTAAAGGTAGTTGTTACAAATGATTAAATTCAGTGAACAAGGCATGTCGATGTTAATAATATGGCTCTGGGCCACAGTGTAGGTAGCCGGTAGGTGTAGCCCAGGCGGGCTACACCTACCGGCTACCTACACTGACTTCCTACAAATAAATATTACTCACCTCTCTTCCTATATTAAGACTACACATATTTTAAGGTAAATAATGAGTGTACTGTATGTGTATTTTACCTCTCTGGGATGTTTAAAATATCGTATATTAAGTATGAGACGGGGAGCCAGGCTACGTACACCTGGGCTACCTGCACCTGACTTCCTACAAATAAGTACTACTCACCTCTCTCCCTACATTAAGATTACAAATACTTTAAGATAAGTAATGAATTTACTGTGAATGTATTTTAGTTTGTGTGTTTTTATTAATGCCTAGTTCTATTACTAACTTAATATAATTTAGTGTAAACTTGTTGTCTGGCATTTATATGCATTTATAAATGGAAAAAAATGGCGTTCTGCCTTCCGGCGATGTCTGCTTTCCAGCGACAGCCTGGAACCTAACCCGCCGTATAAGTGGGGCCCTACTGTATTAAATATTTAACTCCGATATTTTGATTCTGAAGGGAAGAATTTTTATAGGATAAGCAATGCTTGCATTACTGCTTATGACATGGCACTGATATTGGGCTATACAGTGGTACCTAGAGTTACGAACTTAATTAGTTCCAGAAAGCTGTCCGAGTGCCGATACTGAATGAATTTGTTCTCATAAGGAATGATGTAAATTAGGCGAGTCAGTTTCAGACCCCCAAAAATACTTACAAAAGCGCCTACAAAAATACACTTATATAATTGTTCGAGTTGGGGTATGTTCGAAACTCGAGGTACCACTGTATTTGCCAAGTACAGTGGACCCCCGGTTAACGATTTTAATCCGTGCAAGAGGGCTCATCGTTATGCGAAATAATCGTTATGCGAATCAATTTTCCCCATAAGAAATAATGGAAATAAAATTAATCCGTGCAAGACGCCCAAAAGTATGAAAAAAAATTTTTTTTACCACATGAAATGTTAATTTTAATACACACAAACTGAAAAAGGCATGCACAATTAAATGACACTTACTTTTATTGAAGATCTGGTGATGATTGATGGGATGGGAGGAGGGGAGAGCAATATCTTCTTACTGTTTAGAAGGGGAATCCCCTTCCATTAGGACTTGAGGTAGTAAGTCCTTTTCTGGGGTTACTTCCCTTCTTCTTTTAATGCCACTAGGGCCAGCTTCAGAGTCACTGGACTTCTTTCGCACAAGATATCTGTCCATAGTGGCCTGTACCTCTCGTTCCTTTATGACTTGCCTAAAGTGTTTCACAACATTGTCAGTGTAATAATCACCAGCACGGCTTGCAATAGCTGTGTGAGGGTGATTTTCATCCATGAAGGTTTGCACTTCAAGCCACTTAGCACAGATTTCCTTAATCTTTGAAGTAGGCAACTTCTTCAATTTCTCTCTCCCCTCCTCCGAAGCAATTTCCTCAGGTGTGGCCTCTTGCTGTTGAAGTTGATCTAGCAGCTCATCAGTGGTTAGTTCTTCATTGTCCTCCTCCACCAACTCTTCCACATCCTCCCCACTAACCTCCAACCCCAAGGACTTTCCAATGCCACAATGGATTCCTCAACTGGCACAGGATTCTCAGGGTTAGCCTCAAACCCTTCAAAATCCCTTTTGTCTACACATTCTGGCCACAGTTTCTTCCAAGCAGAGTTCAAGGTCCTCTTTGTCACTTCCTCCCAAGCCTTACCTATAAGGTTTACACAATTGAGGTATTAAAGTGATCTCTCCAAAACTCTCTTAGAGTCAGTTGAGTTTCTGAGGTCATTACAAAGCACCTTTCAAACAGAGCTTTTGTGTACAGTTTCTTGAAGTTGGAATAACCTGCTGGTCCATGGGCTGCAGGAGAGGAGTGGTATTAGGAGGCAAAAACTTCACCTTAATGAAGCTCATGTCCCCATAAAGTCGCTCTGACACGTCTGTAGGATGACCAGGGGCATTGTCTAACACCAGGAGGCACTTAAGTTCTAATTTCTTTTCAGTTAGGTAATTTTTCACATTGGGGGCAAATGCATGGTGTAACCAGTTATAGAAAAATTCCCTAGTGACCCATGCCTTACTGTTTGCCCTCCACAGCACACACAAATTATCCTTGAGGACATTCTTTTGCCTGAACGCTCTGGGAGTTTCAGAGTGATACACTAATAAAGGCTTCACTTTGCAATCACCAGTAGCATTGGCACACATCAACAAAGTAAGCCTGTCTTTCATAGGCTTATGTCCTGGGAGTGCCTTTTCCTCCTGAGTAATGTAGGTCCTGCTTGGCATTTTCTTCCAGAACAGGCCTGTTTCATCACAATTAAACACTTGTTCAGGTTTCAGTCCTTCAGTTTCTATGTACTCCTTGAATTCCTGCACATATTTTTCAGCCGCTTTGTGGTCCGAACTGGCAGCCTCACCATGCCTTATCACACTATGGATGCCACTACGCTTCTTAAATCTCTCAAACCAACCTTTGCTGGCCTTAAATTCACTCACATCATCACTAGTTGCAGGCATTTTTTTAATTAAATCGTCATGCAACTTCCTAGCCTTTTCACATATGATCGCTTGAGAGACGCTATCTCCTGCTATCTGTTTTTCATTTATCCACACCAATAAGAGTCTCTCAACATCTTCCATCAATTGCGATCTTTGTTTCGAAAACACAGTTGAACCTTTGGCAAGAACAGCTTCCTTGATTGTCTTTCTGGTGCCCACAATAGTAGCGATGGTTGATTGGGGTTTCTTGTACAGCTTGACTAGGTCGGCTATACGCACTCCACTTTCATACTTATCAATTATCTCTTTCTTCATCTCTATAGTAATTCTTACCCTTTGAGGTGTAGGGTTGGCACTAGAAGCTTTCTTGGGGCCCATGGTCACTTATTTTCCAGAAACAGCACCGAAAATACTGTAATAATACGAAATATTCCGAGTGTATGCTTGGATGTTACCGCGGAGGCTGGCTGGTAAACAATGGGACGGAGCGGCACATGTGAGGCTGGCTGAGGGCACATTGGACGCGTCTCGGACGAAAATCGGTATGCGGGTTTTTAATCGGTATGCGGGGCAAAAATTTTCCGATAAAAGTAATCGTTATGCGGAAAAATCGCTATGCGATGCCATCGTTATGCGGGGGTCCACTGTATTAAAGTACTGTTTTCCATGTAATGTCAATTGATTGTAGCATCTGTTTGGTAGTGCAGAACTTATGTGCACTGCTAAAAACAGATTATACAGTACCTGGGAGTATAAAAGGCATTAGTTCCATCCAAGGAAAGGGAAGGCATGTTCAGTTCTTGGATTAAGAGACCCTGGAGGGGTGCCTTCCTTGACACTTTCATTCTCTGGAAACCCCCCTCTCCCCCATAGATCAGTATACCACTTTACAAATCTACTTTTCTTGTATAGCTATTTCATTAATGATATACCCTAATTTAATAGTATGGCATGAAAAATACAGTAAATAAACTAAAGGTTTACTTTGCAGAACACACTGGAAAAATGCTGTGTATGTACCAAGCCTATCCTGGACCGAATTTTGCGCGCAACTGGAAAACCCTATCATCCGCAGTGCTTCACTTGTGTTGTTTGTAACAAGTCTCTTGATGGCATTCCATTCACAGTTGATGCTTCTAATCAAATTCACTGTATAGATGACTTTCATAAGTAAGTTTCATTTATGTGACCATGTTTTACAAGACAGTAATTGAATGATTGTGAATGCATTTCTTTTACCAAGTCACTTTCTGGGTGTGAGACAGCCATTACCTGGGGAGGTTAAAAAAAAAATTTTTACCCTGAAATTTTTGAAAGTTTTGAAAATAATATATTAACCCTTTCACTTTTGCAACCCCCAAAATTAAAATGCTGACAGTGTCAACATTTAAAAAAAAATAACTGAAATGGTAGAGAATCGCTTTCTGAAAATAATGACACCAGTAATAAGAAATTTGAAGGGGAAAATTGCATAATTATTTTTTTCACTACAGTGCAGAGAACAAAAAAAAAAAAAAAATTGCTCATATATGGAAAGGAAGTCAGGTGTTTGAGCATGTATCACCTGCTTGTGTAGTATGTGGTGAGGTAGAATCAACTTAGCAAACACTCCTGAGAGATGTTAAACCAACAAGTTTTGGTAGCTCTTGCTCTGTAGATTGTCCACCTCATGACTGTGATATCTTCTTATGTAGTGTGCGTCATACAGGTTTGGTGCAAGTTTTTATTTAGAAAAATTGATGCCTTTCCAATTTAAGTGTTTTTGTGAGTTCTTGTGTATATTTTAACACTTGCCAGAAGTGTGTTGATACCATAGCACAGATGCCTCTCCAAACTGCAGCATCTCCCATCCTTCCTGTCTTATGCAAGCAGTATTCAAATAGTCTCTTCTGCATGCTTATTTGTTTACCAAGGTGTTGAATTAAACGCTTGGCTGTCTTGCCAACATGTACCTTATTACACCCCTTTTCCCCTGCTTGTGATAATATACATGCACAGTGGACCCCCAACTTACGATATTAATTCATTCCAGAAGTCTGTTCGGGTGCCGTTACCGAACGAATTTGTTCCCATAAGGAATATTGTAAATTAGATTAGTCCGTTTCAGACCCCCAAAAATACACGTACAAAAGCACTTACAAAAATACACTTACATAATTGTTTGAGTTGGGAGCTGATCGTAAGGCGGGGGTCCACTGTACTGGTCTTTATAGTCCTTCATGGTTTCTTGTTAACTACATCCATGATGGTTGAGGAGATGGATGGATGTATTTGTTTTGTGGCTGCCAAGTGCCTTGGTAACATTTTTGGCTATCTCACCAAATAGGAGGAATGATGTACCAAGTGCACAACCATTCCCATGTAGCAGTGTTGATGCTATGTACCTATCTCCTGCAGACATTCCTCTTAAGGAAACTGTGTGCTGCATCATTTAAGGAAATATATTTGGGGATTAATATTACATTAGACATAACCAGAGGTATACATCAACTATATAGCTTCACAAGATTAGCAAATCTCAGAACAACATTCTGAATGTATAGAATCCTTCAGTTTCATACGTGTTTTGTCAGGTCTTGTGTACATGCAGAAATTTGGAAAGGTCCACAGGTTAGTAACAGAATTATAGTGTTCCTAAAACAGCAGAATACATTATGAGGAGCACGCACTTGCAGGAAGTGAATCTGATTACCTCTGCAGAGTGGGAAAGACATGACTAAAACTTAAATATTAAGATAAATTCATAGTTTTTTTTTTGACTTGCAAGAATAAGGCATTAAGGAACAAAAGTACAGTTATACCCAAGATTAACATCGGTGGTAGGAAAGTGAAATGAATTTAATAAGGAACCAAGACATTCCATACAGTTTCAAGAGATGGTAAGAGTCAAAAGGCCAGAAACAAGAAATGGCATAGAAGGTTAGGAACTTAGACTGAACTCCAGCACAAATTGGCAAGTGTACTCTCTTGACACTTGTATAAAATGTTTATTGATAATTTTCAGGTTATTATAAACTAATACTCTCTAATCTTTTATTTCTACATGTCTTAATTAAAGCATATAATTAAAAAAAATTACCTCTATACATTACAGAAAGTTTGCTCCTCGATGCACTGTGTGTAAAGAACCTATCATGCCTGAACCTGGGAAAGATGAAACTGTCAGAGTTGTGGCACTTGATCGCTCATTCCATGTCAACTGCTACAAGTGTGAGGTACAAATTTTTTTTTCACTAGATGCTTGTTCATGGTTAACAAAAATCAAAGTAAAAATAAGTGTTAAAAACTAGAATTGCTTATGACTCGTATATTAATAAACATAATATTCCATAATGAGGTTTTGTCTATTTTCTCTTATCAACCTGAAATGTTTGTTGAAGTGGCCAACCATTTTTTTTTTCATTTATCATACGAGTAATGCCAAAGCAAGGAGGGAAGTAAATTCACTGAGGTAAAAAGATTGGGAGAGAGATAAGAGTGAGGAAGGGATCTTAAGTCACTGCATGTTACCCATATCCATATTTTGTCGATTTTTTCTTAAACACCCTACTTGCACAGCCCATATAAAAAATATCAGCATGGAAAAATACACTAAACACTGTATTATGATACTGATTAAGCACTGATGCGCAATGTATTTGAAACTTTGCAAAATTGCCAGAATACAGACGGCAAACAAATTCTGTAAATGGACTGAATCACTGACAATACACCCTGACTCATGGCAACTGTTATGTAGGCTACTGCATTAATATGAAGACACATTGTATATAATGTAAGGTGTATTGTGGGGATAATGCTTCATAAATGTTTATATATATGTGTGTGTGTGTGTGTGTGTGTATATATTATATATATATATATTATATATATATATATATATATATATATATATATATTTATATTTTTAAGCAAGTCGGCCATCTCCCGCCAAGGCAGGGTGACCCAAAAAAGAAAGAAAATCCCCAAAAAGAAAATTTTCATCATCATTCAACACTTTCACATCACTCACACATAATCACTGTTTTTGCAGAGGTGCTTAGAAGCATATACCTATAAAGATGCACAACATATAAATGTATATAATATATATATATATATATATATATATATATATATATATATATCTTTCTTTCTTTCAACACACCGGCTGTATCCCACCGAGGCAGGGTGGCCCAAAAGGAAAAACAAAAGTTTCTCCTTTTACATTTAGTAATATATACAGGAGAAGGGGTTACTAGCCCCTTGCTCCCGGCATTTTAGTCGCCTCTTACAACACGCATGGCTTACGGAGGAAGAATTCTGTTCCACTTCCTCATGGAGGTAAGAGGAAATAAACAAGAACAAGAACTAGAAAGAAAATAGAAGAAAACCCAAAGGGGTGTGTATATATATGCTTGTACATGTATGTATAGTGTGACCTAAGTGTAAGTAGAAGTAGCAAGATGTACCTGAAATCTTGCATGTGTATGAGACAGAAAAAAAAGACACCAGCAATCCTACCATCGTGTAAAACAATTACAGGCTTCAGTTTTACACTCATTTGGCAGGACGGTAGTACCTCCCTGGGCGGTTGCTGTCTACCAGCCTACTACCTAGGATTATATATATATATATATATATATATATAGATATATATATATATATATATATATATATATATATATATATATATATATATATATATATATATATATATATATATATATATATATATTAATATATATATATATATATATAATATATATATATATATATATATATATATATATATTATATATATATATATATATATATATATATATATATATATATATATATATATATATATATATATATATATATATATTATATATATATATATATATATATATATATATATATATATATATATATATATATATATATATATATATATTATATATATATATATATATATTATATCCTAGGTAGTAGGCTGGTAGACAGCAACCGCCCAGGGAGGTACTACCGTCCTGCCAAGTGAGTGTAAAACGAAAGCCTGTAATTGTTTTACATGATGGTAGGATTGCTGGTGTCCTTTTTTCTGTCTCATGAACATGCAAGATTTCAGGTACGTCTTGCTACTTCTACTTACACTTAGGTCACACTACACATACATGTACAAGCACATATATACACACCCCTCTGGGTTTTCTTCTATTTTCTTTCTAGTTCTTATTCTTGTTTATTTCCTCTTATCTCCATGGGGAAGTGGAACAGAATTCTTCCTCCGTAAGCCATGCGTGTTGTAAGAGGCAACTAAAATGCCGGGAGCAAGGGGCTAGTAACCTCTTCTCCTGTATATATTACTAAATGTAAAAGGAGAAACTTTCGTTTTTCCTTTTGGGCCACCCCGCCTCGGTGGGATACGGCCGGTGTGTTGAAAGAAAAAGATATATATATATATATATATATATATATATATATATAAATAATGTACAGGTCTCCCTCAACATTCACGTTTTCAACTTTCACGGGCTTCACACATTCGCGAATTCCCAGCCACCACATTCCCAGCCGCCAAATCATATTTAAGTTTCCCGCCACCTGCGAGTCCCTACTACCCTCCCTCCGACCCCCGCAACTGGCAGCCAGCCCTCCCACCACTCTGTGGTGAGTGTTTTGTTTGTTCATTATTTGCTATTAAACTACAGTATAAATATTGTAAACCCATTCATGACTGCATATTGGAATGGCTATTCGGACAGGTATTAGACGGTGACATCATGTGTTTACTCTTGAACACTGCAAAGAATTAAACATTTCTGCTACAGCTAATAATAACAATAACAACAATAATAATAATAATAAATATGATATAATTGAAGAAGGAAATTGTACAAAAATACGAGGGAGTGGTTGACACATCGCCAGTGTGACTTTGTTTATGCTGGAGTGAACATTAGTCTCCCTGCTCTTCCAAACATTTCATAATAATTCATTGTGTTTGGTGCTTGTAGATTGAGTGTGACTGGAGTGGTTGAGGCAGTGATTGAGGCAATGGTATTTAATAACATACATGTTAATAATAATACATGTTATTAATAATATGTACTATTATTATTTATTACATATATGTTATTAAATACATACATGTTAATAATAATACATGTTATTAATAATAACATGTACTATTATTATTTATAACATGTATTTATTAAATACCACTGCTGAATTATTGTGAAATGTTTGGAAGAGCAGGGAGACTAATGTTCACTCCAGCATAAACAAAGTCACACTGACGATGTGTCAACCACTCCCTCGTATTTTTGTACAATTTCCTTCTTCAATTATATTGTATTTATTATTATTATTATTATTATTATTATTATTGTTACTATTGTTGTTATTAGCAATAGCATAAACGTTCGATTCTTTGCTGTGTTCAAGAGTAAACACATGATGTCACCGTCTAATACCTTTCCTAATAGCCATTCCAATATGCAGTCATGAATGGGTTTACATTATTTATTCTGTAGTTTAATAGCAAATAATGAACAAACTAAACACCACACTGAGTGGTGGGAGGGCTGGCTGCCAGTTGCGGGGGTCGGAGGGAGGGTAGTAGGGACTCCCAGTGGTGGAGGCAGTGGTGGAGTCTGTGGTATTTAATAACATACATGTTATTAACATGTTATTAAACATACGTTATTAAATAACATACGTTATTAAAGCATAACATGTATATATTTAGTACAATTTACGATGTTTTCATGTATTTTATGATTATTCATGGTTCACAAGTTAAGGAAGCAGTATTGTAATATATTTCCCTACAATATATTGGGGCACCAAACATTCACGGTTTTTCAACACTCGCGAGGCTCTTGATCCCCTAACCCTCGCGAATGTTGAGGGAGACCTGTATTCTTCTTCTTTCAACGCACCAGCTGTATCCCACCGAGGCAGGGTGGCCCAAAAAGAAAAACGAAAGTTTCTCTTTTTAAATTTAGTAATCTATACAGGAGAAGGGGGTTACTAGCCCCTTGCTCCCAGCATTTTAGTCGCCTCTTACAACATGCTTGGCTTACGGAGGAAGAATTCTGTTCCAATTCCCCATGGAGATGAGAGGAAATAAACAAGAAGAACTAGAAAGAAAATAGAAGAAAGCCCAGAGGGGTGTGTGTGTGTATATATGCTTGTACATGTATGTGTAGTGTGACCGAAGTGTAAGTAGAAGTAGCAAGATGTACCTGAAATCTTGCATGTATATAAGACAGAAAAAAAGACACCAGGCAGGCAGGACACCTGCCAAAAATAACAATTCAGTATCTTGTAGTTTCAGATACTGTGCCAGTTTTTGGCCAGCTTTCCTCAAAGAAATTGCTGGAACTATGAAAATTTAAATATGGTATTTTGAAGTTTTCGTTGTTTAGTTTTAATTATACCCCTGATTTGTATACCTCTAGGATTGTGGGCTGGTATTATCTTCCGAGGCTGAAGGACGAGGGTGCTACCCCCTGGATGGACATGTACTGTGCAAGAGTTGCAATGCCCGGAGAGTGCAGGCCATTACGTCAAAAGTCACAACAGATCTGTAGATTACAAACCCCCTTTTCCTCTTGTACTAGCCATCAAGTTATTATAATACTCTTATTGTTACTTGCCTTGTACTAGCTATCAGTTTTTGTAATATCTTAGTCACAGGTTCTTAGGATCCCATTCATGCAATTATTACTGTATTTGCATTGTAGTTACTGCAAGCTCTCACTTTGCTTACAATTTTGTATGCTTGGTATGAGCTATATAGGTGCAAGGGCATATAAACATTAAACAGCAGTAGGTTCATTAAAAATCATGTGATTTTAGAGCATATCTGTACGAATTTTGTTTTGTTGTAATACTTAATCTGTACTGAACATATATGATCCTGTTATCTATTATTTCAGTAGATTAATACAGATTTCATGATGTATAAAATGTTACTTTTAACCACATATATACCATATTTCACTATTACTGGTATTTTGTTTGGAAAATTAAAATTTCTGCTTAATTGCAGAGAGATCTTACATGACTTTGGTATGTATAGTACTGTTGTATAAGTGTACATGTTACATTACTTTATGAACCTTTAATTTTTCAATGGAATATAGTGGTGAGATTTTTTCAAGCTAATGTGAACTTTCTCATTTTCTTTAATTACATCAATAATTTGTTGGCAGGATATACTGTATGTATGTATATGCATATAATGCACACTTCAGGTAGAAATTATTTTAAAATTCTTAAACATTCCTTCTTGCACATGCAAAACCATTAATCCAAACTTGTCTTCCAAGGTGTAGTATTACATCAGTAGCACATGCTAAGCTTGCAAACTAATGGCAGTCAAGATGCATCTTCCAGCACTATCTCCATTCCTGTGTATGCAGTGCTAGTGTGGTGCCCTTGCCTAGTATAAAACAATGAGTCTGGGCAGAATAAAAAGGCTGGTGCCTGAACTGAGCTATAGTGAGAACTACACCTTTCGTCATTAGGGGAGTAAATAAAGGGATATGGTCACAGCATAAATATTAATAATGGTAGAATTACTAACAATATACTAGGTAAAAGGACATATGCAACTGTGACATTAATATGTAATTAGCTGTATGCTTTTACCTAACATAAATACTATGTTTAACAAGGATAGACTACCAGGGATATAAATTGAATATAGTTGCTTACACCCAAACAATAATTATTACAATCAAAACTGCTTAGCACTTCTTTCTGATTATAATAATAATACAATCAAAACTAAGCACTAAACCTACAAGGATCATACAACAAACAGCCAAATAAGCCATGGTGATATTAGGAAGTATTTCTTAAATCTGTCTGTTGGATTTTCAAGGAAATTGCCACTTTCTTGGCATACTGGACACCTTAATAAACAAGAAGCTGCCATAATATTCAGTACTTTGTGGATAAATTCTTATAATTAGCAAATGCTACTCATTAAATATTTCCAAATTAGGGACTTCTTGTTGTAGTGTTATAATCATAAAGAAGCGACAAACTCAGAGACTTGGAAAGATCATTTCTGATGCTCGTAAATGACTATAGTGTATATGATTCACATAGCTTGTGTAGGGATTCCTAAGTGCTAACCAGATCCTCAACTCTTAAACTACATGTTTTATTAAGCTATTACTGAAGGAAGACGTGTAAATTACAGTACAACATTCAGACAAATGCATTTTTTTTTTTTTTCCAACAAGTCGGCCGTCTCCCACCGAGGCAGGGTAGGAGGTTGGTAGACAGCAACCACCCAGGGAGGTACTACCGTCCTGCCAAGTGAATGTAAAACAAAAGCCTGTAATTGTTTTACATGATGGTAGGATTGCTGGTGTTTATTTTGTCTGTCTCATAAATATGCAAGATTACAGGCATGTCTTGCTACTTCTACTTACACTTAGGTCACACTACACATACATGTACACGTTTATTTATACACACTCATCTGAGTTTTTTTATTTTATCTTAATAGTTCTTGGTCTTATTACTTTTCCTTTTATATCCATGGGGAAGTGGAATAAGAATCTTTCCTCCGTAAGCCATGCGTGTTGTAAAAGTCAACTAAAATGCCGGGAACGATGGGCTAGTAACCCCTTATCCTGTAAAGATTACTAAAAATAAGAAGAAAAAAATGCATATATATTAAATTAAACACAATATGGAATACAGTAATCAAAATGAATAATTTTCACACAGTGCACATTGAGTGAAAAACTACATTTGAGTATAAATTAAAACTTCATTTTCATTAAGAACTTTGTTTATTATTAAACTAAGTGTTTAAAAATGCAAACACTAAATTAATTAAATATATAAAAGATAAAGTACTGTAAAGTAGTAGTATAATTTAGGAAAATATTTACAAATTACTTATTTTAAATGACTATGCATTAAACTTTATTACTGGTATGATGGAGAAAATATCCTAATTTATTATCATGGCACTGCACTGTATGACCCTTGTAGGTTTAGCACTGCTCTTGCTTAATTATCATGGCAGATAAATGAGACTATTCACCATTTTTTCTGAACGTAATACATTGCTCATTTTGCAAAATAAAACCATACAACTACTTGTATTTTGATGGCTAATTTGTAACAGAACCTGTGTTTATAGTATATTTTAATATATACTAATATATATACACACACTAAGCTGCGCTGTATGACCCTTGTAGGCTTAGCGTTTCTTTGATGATAATCATGATGTTTTAAGAGTAGGCATGGTAGGGCCCACAAGGCTAGGAGTGAGAATCTGGCATGGTGAGGCTAGGAGATGAGGCTCGGCCCCCCTGCAACCACATGTGGGAGAGTGTATACACAGTACAATATGGATGAATGGGTTTGCTTAAAGAACCAAGAATTTTTTTGAGGGACTGTATCAGTTTATGCTAGAGATGTGCCACATTAGTGATCTACAATGAGTATAACCCCAGTGTCGCATGTAAATAATTACGTCTAAGGGTCACAGCTGGCATTGTCAATCATTCGGGATGCAGATGACCAAAATCTTCCTCGGCTCAAATCTTTGCTTTGTGGATTTTAATCATTTAAAGTTTATGTACTCAGTTACAGAACTACTAATAATGGAGGAAATATTGTGGTCAGCTGGGTCCTAATTACTTGTCTTTGAAGTGAAAAATTTGCTGTACTTGGGTCAGAAGACATTAGGGAAAATGAAAAATATCATTATTCTACTTGTAAAGAGTGAAATTAAATATTCATATGTGAGGAAATGTGTAAAGCTGATTAACTGCATGTTCATCTGTACTATAATTTTTTAAACCATTTGTTGATATGTCACCCTCTAAAAAGTATATAATCTTTTTAATCACCAATACTGTCATAATTCAATAAAATGTCTATATATTTAAGTGCAAACATTACCCTCCCACACCAGTACTTAAAATGTACACTACTAAATTGTTGAGCATACAAGGCCCAGCTGCCATAGGCTCGATACCTAGACAATATCAACACAAGTTCCAGTATAGCAAATGAAACATAATAGGGTTAATCAGTAAGAGGAAAAATTGAGAGGTAATTTCCTACTTTAGTGCAACTCTTATTACAGACTAGTGCAGCTCTTGAGACTACCCAAACAGTGATGCCCTATGGTATTTGCTGTTTTTGTGAATACACTGCCAATGTCCTAATCTTTTCACTGTCCAAAGCCCCAAAATTAAAATGGCTGTCCATATTAAAAAAAAAATCCCCATAACTTGCCTAAATGTGAAGGCATGAAACCGAAGTTTGATGACCCGTTAATGGCAACGTCAGCAACTGCCGTGAGCTCCGTTTTTATTTTGTACATTTTTACATTATCCAGTAACTTTAGTGGCCTGAGACCCATATCATGCATGTGTATATAGTATATCCACCTGTTGTATATAACAATACCCCTCACTAAGCAACATCGGTACATTTACATGTTTATGCAACAATGTTAACAGTAATATGAAGCATTTGTACCTAAGATTTATGTAAATGTATACAATGGGAACAATGGGCTAGTAACCCCTTTTCCTGTAAAGATTACTAAAAAGGATAAGAAAATTGTCAAAGTGGGAAGTCTGAATGTGCAAATGATAAGAAAGAGATGATTGTGGATGTTATGAATGACAAGAAGCTGGATGTCCTGGCTATAAGTGAAACAAAGCTGAAGGGGGGGTGGAAGAGTTTCAATGGAGAGGAATAAATGGGATTAGGTCAGGGGTTTCAAATAAGAGTTAGTGCTAAAGAGGGAGAAGCAATAATGTTGAAGGATAAGCTATGGCAGGAAAAGAGGGACTATAAATGTATTAATTCAAGGATTATGTGGAGTAAAATAAAGATTGGATGTGAAAAGTGGGTTATAATAAGCATGTATGCACCTGGAGAAGAGAAGTGTAGAGGAGAGAGAGAGATTTTGGGAAATGTTGAGTGAATGCATGGGGAGTTTTGAATCAAGTGTGAGAGTAATGGTGGTTGGGGATTTCAATGCTAAAGTGGGTAAAAATGTTATGGAGGGAGTATTATTATTATTATAATCAAGGGGAAGCGCTAAACCCGGAGGATTATACAGCGCCTGGGGGGGGGGATGTGGAAGGCATTCATATGGAGGGAGTAGTAGGTATATTTAGGGTGCCAGGGGTAAATGTAAATGGGGAGCCTTTAATTGAGCTATGTGTAGAAAGAAATTTGGTAATAAGTAATACATATTTTATGAAAAAGAGGATAAATAAATATACAAGGCATGATGTAGCACGTAATGAAAGTAGTTTATTAGATTATGTATTGGTGGATAAAAGGTTGATGGGTAGGCTCAAGGATGTACATGTTTATAGAGGGGCAACTGATATATCGGATCATTATTTAGTTGTAGCTACAGTTAGAGTAAGAGGTAGATGGGAAAAGAGGAAGGTGGCAACAAGAAGAGGGAGGTGAAAGTGTATAAACTAAGGGAGGAGGAAGTTCGGGTGAGATATAAGCGACTATTGGCAGAAAGGTGGGCTAGTGCAAAGATGAGTAGTGGGGGGGTTGAAGAGGGTTGGAATAGTTTTAAAAATGCAGTATTAGAATGTGGGGCAGAAGTTTGTGGTTATAGGAGGGTGGGGGCAGGAGGAAAGAGGAGTGATTGGTGGAATGATGAAGTAAAGGGTGTGATAAAAGAGAAAAAGGTAGCTTATGAGAGGTTTTTACAAAGCAGAAGTGTTATAAGAAGAGCAGAGTATATGGAGAGTAAAAGAAAGGTAATGAGAGTGCAAAAGGAGAGCAGATGATAGAGTGGGAGAGGCACTGTCAAGAAATTTTAATGAAAATAAGAAAAATTTTTGGAGCGAGTTAAACAAGTTAAGAAAGCCTAGGGAAAGTATGGATTTGTCAGTTAAAAACAGAGTAGGGGAGTTAGTAGATGCGGAGATGGAGGTATTAGGTAGATGGCGAGAATATTTTGAGGAACTTTTAAATGTTAAGGAAGAAAGAGAGGCAGTAATTTCATGCACTGGTCAGGGAGGTATACAATCTTTTAGGAGTGAAGAAGAGCAGAATGTAAGTGTGGGGGAGGTACGTGAGGCATTACGTAGAATGAAAGGGGGTAAAGCAGCTGGAACTGATGGGATCATGACAGAAATGTTAAAAGCAGGGGAGGATATAGTGTTGGAGTGGTTGGTACTTTTGTTTAATAAATGTATGAAAGAGGGGAAGGTACCTAGGGATTGGCGGAGAGCATGTATAGTCCCTCTATATAAAGGGAAAGGGGACAAAAGAGACTGTAAAAATTATAGAGGAATAAGTTTACCGAGTATACCAGGAAAAGTGTACGGTAGGGTTATAATTGAAAGAATTAGAGGTAAGACAGAATGTAGGATTGTGGATGAGCAAGGAGGTTTCAGAGTGGGTAGGGGATGTGTAGATAGTGTTTACATTGAAGCATATATGTGAACAGTATTTAGATAAAGGTAGGGAAGATTTTATTGCATTTATGGATTTAGAAAAGGCATATGATAGTGGATAGAGGAGCAATGTGGCAGATGTTGCAAGTATATGGAATAGGTGGTAAGTTATTAAATGCTGTAAAGAGTTTTTGAGGATAGTGAGGCTCAGGTTAGGGTGTGTAGAAGAGAGGGAGACTACTTCCCGGTAAAAGTAGGTCTTAGACAGGGATGTGTAATGTCACCATGGTTGTTTAATATATTTATAGATGGGGTTGTAAAAGAAGTAAATGCTAGGGTGTTCGGGAGAGGGGTCTGATTAAATTTTGGGGAATCAAATTCAAAATGGGAATTGACACAGTTACTTTTTGCTGATGATACTGTGCTTATGGGAGATTCTAAAGAAAAATTGCAAAGGTTAGTGGATGAGTTTGGGAATGTGTGTAAAGGTAGAAAGTTGAAAGTGAACATAGAAAAGAGTAAGGTGATGAGGGTATCAAATGATTTAGATAAAGAAAAATTGGATATCAAATTGGGGAGGAGGAGTATGGAAGAAGTGAATGTTTTCAGATACTTGGGAGTTGACGTGTCGGCGGATGGATTTATGAAGGATGAGGTTAATCAGAATTGATGAGGGAAAAAAGGTGAGTGGTGCGTTGAGGTATATGTGGAGTCAAAAAACGTTATCTATGGAGGCAAAGAAGGGAATGTATGAAAGTATAGTAGTACCAACACTCTTATATGGGTGTGAAGCTTGGGTGGTAAATGCAGCAGCGAGGAGATGGTTGGAGGCAGTGGAGATGTCCTGTTTCAGGGCAATGTGTGGTGTAAATATTATGCAGAAAATTCGGAGTGTGGAAATTAGGAAAAGGTGTGGAGTTAATAAAAGTAATTAGTCAGAGGGCAGAAGAGGGGTTGTTGAGGTGGTTTGGTCATTTAGAGAGAATGGATCAAAGTAGAATGACATGGAAAGCATATAAATCTATAGGGGAAGGAAGGCGGGGGTAGGGGTCGTCCTCGAAAATGCGTGAGCGTGTTAGATAGGAGCGAATGGAGACGAATGGTACTTGGGACCTGACGATCTGTTGGAGTGTGAGCAGGGTAATATTTAGTGAAGGGGTTCAGGGAAACCAGTTATTTTCATATAGTCGGACTTGAGTCCTGGAAATGGAAAGTACAATGCCTGCACTTTAAAGGGGGAGTTTGGGATATTGGCAGTTTGGAGGGATATGTTGTGTATCTTTATACGTATATGCTTCTAAACTGTTGTATTCTGAGCACCTCTGCAAAAACAGTGATAATGTGTGAGTGTGGTGAAAGTGTTGAATGATGAAAGTATTTTCTTTTTGGGCATTTTTTCTTTTTTGGGTCACCCTGCCTCGGTGGGAGACGGCCGACTTGTTGAAAAAAAAAAAATATACAAAAATTAGTCATGTTCCTAGAACTGCTGCAGTTCTAAGAACAAGTCCTTGAAACACGATTCCACACACAGCATGTATCTCTGCGTTTTGGTGGGCACTTTGTGTGTGTACAGACATAACATCTCTTCTGAGCCTATTTCTTCTGTTCTGTACCAGGAAGCGTTGTGGGGAAGTGATTACCAAACTTGAAACGAGAAGGTATTCGGTGATCATCTCGGTGATATTTCTGGCATTCTGGGTATCGCTGTCATATGTTCAAAACCAAAGAGCTCTGTCAGTTCCATAATTCTCATTGTTGGAGCTGGCACTGGGGAATAATACTTGTTGGATTTGCTTGGAGTGAGGTCTTTGCATTTGTGCAGCATTATGAACAAAGTGTACTAAATGTGACATTCCCACTATGCACTGCAGAGGCTGTAATTTTTTTTTTTAGGCTGCACATTGACTGTGGAGGCTTCTCTCATGTAGACCTCATGCCAAATTTGAAGACGGTAGATTATCATCATCATCATCTCGGGGGAGCGCTAAACCCGTAGGATTATACAGCACCTGGGGGAGGGGATGGAAGATATTCAGGCTTAATTCAGGGAACCAGAGCACATATCCAATTCCCTAGATCAAGAGCCCCTCACCAGCATCAAGGAACCTCCCTTGAGGGGTGAAGACAGTAGAATGTGTGCAGATCTACATAAGGGAAGATCAAAACAAAGGAAGAGAAACAGGGGGAATGGTACAGGTGGGCAGTAAAATGGGGCGTACCAAACGAGGTATCAGCCCATCAAGGCCGAATAAGCAACCAAATGCGAAGCCAGTACTGGAGAAACCAGGGGCGTGTACACCAGGGGACATACCAGGTAGTACACCACCAGCGGTACTAATGAAATGCAAAGCGAGACAAAACATCCCACATGGTAATTCCTGCTTCATATTTGCAAATATCAGGGTTTGAAATCAAATAAAAATGACAGTTATGTCAGTGGGCTCCTAACAGAAGCAAATGCCACATATGGAGCATTTACAGAAACACATACAAGGG